ACATTATTTTTAAAATAATTTAATATTTATAAAAATAATTATTATAATAAATGTTATATATATAAAATTATTGTATTACCTTATCAATTGATTCGACTCAATATATATTTTTGTGCAATTTTTTATTGGCCAAGTATGTTTATTGTGACGTAACATTTTTTTGATTATCAATTACTCAAAATCAATTTATAGTCTCAGAACCCACTTTTAATAGATCAGCTCCTATATAATACATATCAAACATTTTGCTGGCATTTGAAACTTTATGAAAATGGAAACCTAATCTGATTTCGCGATGTAAAATTAAATTATTTGTTAAACTAGTCTGGAGAAACTAATTTTAAATATGTTCTTAGGTCATGACAACATTTGAGGATCTATGTTTACTCTCAGAAATAGAAGCATTAGTAATTGATATTGAAGCCTGATGTGAAGATGCAAATATAAATTTACAATCTCTGAAGCGTGATGTTGATCAATATATAAGTGAGAGCACTAGTTATAAGAAAACTATATGGGAGAGAATAGAAATGGAACTTGAGAAAATAAATGTAAAGAACCTTGGATTCAATCATCCGATTTGTTCAAGCGTTCTGAATATCAAGTCAGAACCCTTTACAGATATACTAAGATCAGTTTGTGATATTTTTAAGAAACCATTTCAAAAATATAAGTTAGAATAGAATCATCATATAATGGAAGCCTGTAAAGAATTTATTCAGAATGAGGAATTGAAAATTAATATGGATGAGGTTTTGGGTAATATTAATTATGAAGAATGGTTGGATAAATCTGAGGAATTACAACATTTAACAAAACGGATGTTAGAAATAATGTAAGTACAAATTTTTCCCTTTGATGCTATGTATCTACAAAAGATAGCTAATCTGCAGAATAGAAGATAGATTTTTTTTTTGAATTCATGACTAAAAGAAGAAAAAATGGCTTATTAATTGATAAATAATTATAGGCTCAAAGTTTGGAAATCGCTAAAATATGAAGCATATATAAAGAAGGGAAAATCGATAAATGAAGAATCATATGTTTGCAAAGTTCTCGCATCATTGATAAATATAGTGATGAGTGATTTATCAGAAAAACCAATAGTGTGGGACATATGGTAGGTTTAACTTGAAAAATACACTATTATCATATATTTTGTTTCAATTAATATGTCTTCTAAATTAAGAGGTAAAGAAGGAAGTTCAGCTAGTGTTACATGAAAAAGTTCTTGTAAAATTGCCTGAAGAGCTGATTATAATAGTAACCCAGTTAGGAAAAAATGCTAAACTTGTCTTGAAACCAGTAGATCTAATTTCAGTCAAGATAAGCAGATTCATGATCACAAAAAATTAATACGTTTTTTCAAGGATTCTATTGATACTACGAGAAACATAAAAAACCTTAAAAAGATATTTAATCAACCATCTAAGAGGCAGATTCTGACCATATTTACTATTAATATCGCAGGTACAAATAAATTACTTCCATTTTTTTTATATTCATAAATCATTTATATTTATCTTATCTATTTCTAGATGATGTTATAGAATTAGTGATACCTGATGAAATTACTTTTCTTAATATGATGAAATTGACGAAACTGAAATGACGAAACTAGTTTTTTTATTAATAACAAAATTATTTTACTTAATTGCCGAAATTATATTTAACTTGATCTAAATTCCTTGAATTAAAATACATTAAAAAATATAATAATTTTATATTTATTCATATAAAAATATTAAAGAGACGAAACTTTTGACGAAATTACAATTTTTCAAAAAAGAGTTCAGGCAGGTATCACTATATAGAACTTTATGCTATGCGAAAAGAATCGGACATTTACAAGTATTGTTTAATAGAAAAGGCAACAATTCCGTTGTATATGACTTCACTGAGTGCTGTATATCTGCTTATTCACACTTTGTTGACATTGAGGACGTCTGTAGCATGTTCAATTCACAAGATATTATATGATTCTTATTCTGAGAATAATGAGTATAGCTCTAGTGAAATGGTAATAACTGTTTCGACCCCAAATATCTATAGAATAGAACTCGAATTCATACATGTAATTATTGATAAAAAATTTTTCTTGGTAAAATTTCAGCGAACAATATTCACCAAAAATCATGTGATTTTTTTAATTTTAAATAGTTATATATAGTATATAAAATTTTACCAATTATGTCATCAGAACTTGAATTATTGAGGCAATATATTACTGATCTTAAGACTGATAAAATTGAGTTAAAACAAAAGCTTAAGGCCAGAACTGATAAGTTGGAAAAAACTATAGCAAATTCTTCAGCTGAAATTAGTAAACTTAACACTATAATCGTGGAGCTAGAAAAATATAAGTCAGCTATCTCTAAACTTGAGTCTGAGAATACTGAGTTTAAGATTAGATTTATGAAGTTGGAACAGGATCAAGGGCAGACACAAGATAGTGTAACTCTTGAAGAAGCGATACCAGTTGTTGACATACCTGTCTCTGTAGTTCTCCAGCCCAATAATGAAAACATCTAGTGGTAACATCAAGACTGAATCATCGAAGAATAAGAAGATCGATGCTTTCTTAAATGAGGTGGATAAGAAAAGGTTGAAGAAAAAAATAAAATAATGCAATAAGAAAAAGAAACTATTACTTGAATCAGCTACTAAGGAGACACACTCGATTTTCTAGAATACTGCTCCCACTAAAGATGGGAACTGTAATTAATATGTTGCAACTTTTAATGTTGCAACTTACGTTGCAATTAGTTTTAACATATATATGTTGCAACTTATAATGTTGCAACATATGTTGCAACTAATTTTAGCTTATGTTGCAACATTTTGTAAATTTGAAATCAATTGCTGTACCATCTTTAGCTCCCACTACTTCTCACGAGCGAAAAATAAACAGGATTTGATTCAAGAAATTACTTTATCTAAAGAAGAGAAAGAAAAACATGTGTCAGAAATTTTAGCGAATAATTCTAAAGAAGAGAAAGAAAAACATGTGTCAGAAATTTCAGCAAATAATGTTTGCCTAAATCAAAATATTGTTAGCCTATATAAACATGCATGTGATGCAAAAGTAAATGCAATCGAAGTCAAAGAAGAAATATTGTGCTGGTATTTCTATGCTAAAGAATTCAAATGCATATATAAAGATTTTATGATCAATAATAAAGTTGATGAGAAGAAAGCAAAAGGTCAAATATACAATTTTATTATCAAACAACTCTCTGATATTAAACGTAAAACTTTATTTAAGCAGATACAGAAAGCTTTAAGAATCAATGATTTATTTGAAAAATAGGAACAGATAAGATTCAATACATAAAAACCTATAGCGCAGATACTATTTCAAGATTTACTAATTCTTAGATTCAAACTATTATAGATCACTTTACCAAAAAACCTAATATGGAATTCACTGATGAATCTGAGGATAAAGAACAAGATAATGATCATAATAATGTATCAGAAGTATAAGTGAATCTCTTAAAGTCAGATAAGGCAACTGTTCTAATCACACTTGCTGAATCTAAGGTAAGCATTTCAACTGCACCTATTCTTTCATCTCATGTCTCTAATTCTTCAGATGATTCCTTTGGAATCAATTCAAAGGATTCGCCTGCTTTACAAAGTGATCAGCTCATTCCACTCCAGAAGAAGTTATCAAAATGAAAGTGTGATAAGGTTATTGATTTGATGATAAATCGTTTTGAAAGGACCACCTCATGTCTAAACCTTCATACCAGTATAGATAGGGAATATGTTAACTAAGTAGATTGCTATTTCATCCATGATATGCAAATCTGCCTTATATGCAAAAAAGATAAGATCATTGCTATCTGAAAGGCTACTAGTTGATCGATAGCAAAGGCAGTAAAAAATATTATTTGATTTGCGATAATATCCAAGAATCTGGAATCCCACTTAATGGGGTGTTAACACTATATTCTGAAAAAACAAGTCCAGATAGCTGGAATCATCTTGTGAAAGTTTTGAATAGAGAAGTAACAGTAGAAGCATAGGAAATAGCATGTTATGTATCATGGGCAACGTCTCAATTTGTATTATTTTATATTGCTAGAAATCACCTAATACTTGTATAATGTGAATATAATTATAATAAAAATAATATCATCATTTTTGGAAGAAAATTAACGAGAGGTGCTTTGCATGAATTAGCTTAAGTACTTTTTTTCCTTGCGCTTCTGCCTCACCTCTATCTCTTTCTGCAGGTTCAATGGTGTGTCAAACCTTAGCCGAATTGCAAGAGGATCATCCTCTGGCCTAGTGAGATCAAATACAACAAACTCACCCTTTTTGCGAAGATAGCTATTAATGACCATTGATGCATTTTTTACATCATCCGTATACACCTTATTGACATTGAGAATTTTTTAAGTCAAATGCTATACTTAAGAAATAAGTCTTGTATTTACTGTGCCATAACCATGTGGTTTTCACTGGCGTAGATAAAGTTTTTCGATTAATACTGTATATCTGATATTAATTAATTCGGACTATTCAATATTATATATATCTTATTAGCCATAGTATTTCAAAGGTTTAACATCAAATCACTCCCAGAAACGGTTTATGTCGCATTATCATTTAAGGTTACAGTTAAAAATATGACAATTCTATTCATTGGATAATAACAGTGAAGTAAGTTGATCTAATGAAATTTGCTTTATAATGACGAGACTTCGAAATTCTCTCAGTGTGAAAAGTATTGCTGAACGGGTCTGAATTCTTGTTAAGACATGATAGAGCTTCAGCCTTGTGAACAATGTTTTCCTATATTTCAAGTTGTTAATTAATATCCATCAACAATATACACTAAAAATCCTGTCTCTTACCTTAAAAAAATATAATGCTTCTAAAGTTTGCTTCAGAACAGTGATATCATTAATTTGAGTAGGAAACCTTAATAATGGTCCTTCAAAACCGAAATATAATCCCTCATCTAATAAGTCGACACCAATTATTTGGCCATATAAAGCTAAACACAGAATAGAACGTCACTATGAGCATAATACAATGCGTAATATATGTATGTATTAAAAGCCTTACCTGCTAATTGCAACCCGATGACTGCAGAATTTTCGATTATTTCGTCGGATAGATCATGTGAGAGATATTGATCAAGAACAGATTTGTTGGTCCTCAAACATTTACTACGATCATTGATAATCTTGGTAGAATTTGTTCTACGCGCGCACTCGGAATGACTGAGCTCCACATTTTTTCCTTGATTTTTTCCTCGATACATAATTTTTAAATCGATTTTTCTTCCTACTGTCGTTGCCTTTGAAACTGTTTCTCCCCTGCAAATATATACAATCTGAATAATAATTTATAATCATTCCAGAAAAAAACAGGATACTTACCATTTGAGCTGAACAAGGTGTTGAACGTCAGAAAATATTATATCAATTATTGGACCCGCAACTTTGAGCGTAAATTCAATTTCCGTTAAATTTTGTTTATTCCCTTCCCTATCTACAAAAACATAGGGATCCACAAGAAACATTTCTATACTAATTATAAAAATTAAAATTAGTTCGATGGGCGTTGTGAATATAATTGCATAAAGATGCATATAGTTACATACATAAAAAAATAAATTTTCATGACTTGACGATGAAAAGTTTCAGTTCGATCTGGGCGTCCCTTTAATTTCTCGTACACGAAATCCCTTGCTTCCCAGTATTTATGTTCATTGCAAAGCTGAATATTGAAGAAGGTTCAATGAAGCATCCATAATAAACATCCGACCAATAGATCATTTACATACCTCCTCTATTTTTTCGATGTCACTTTTGATTAAATCTTCGAACATCTTTGGCTTGATGTTTATCTTTGCTAGCGCCTTTGCTTTAAGATCTGGCCATTCGCCTCCAAACCATGAATACATACCACCTGAAAATTCCGAAGAGAGGTCAACAATTGAGGAAAGCCCGAGCCTACATAAATGACTACCAAAGATTAGCATCGCACCAATAAAGTATATGTAAGAAATTATATACCGAATGGTGCTTGAAATAGATGCATTTAATTTTTTCTTTTTTGATTGTATTTCCTTGGCTTTTTTGATGGCTTCTGACGTCATACGAATGAGAGTATTCCTAACACTTTCACCATTCTTAAGCGTCCATATTTCTTCGCCTTTACTTGATTCTGTAAATTGATCGAATGAAATCGTACTAAAATTGATAACATCTTCTTCATCTGAGGTCACATCTTCTGTCTCATCTTCATCACTTTTATCATCCTCAAACTCGTTTTCGGACTGACGATATCCAAGGAGACGCATCTTAAAATTCTGTAAAAACGTTAGTTAAAATTATTAAGCTCAGATCAGATCTTGATCCATCAATAAACTTAGTCTATTACCTCATTATTTTCTGATAAATTGTCTGATTTTCGTTTACGAGAATTTGGAGTAGAAGACATTTGCTGTTTCTTTTCCGTTTCTTGTACCCTACCTCCTTTTTTTATTATTTCGACATTGAAGTTTTCGCGGACATTGTTATCCTGCCTATATATTATTTCTTTCATAGTCGCGTGTTGTTCAGCCTGATCAACAAACAAGGCATCAATCATTGAAATTCGCGGAACATAATGAACTTGCAAAAATATAATGTATACGTACATCGTACAACTTACTCCTCTCTTCGGCAACCTGTCTTCTTTTTTTCAGATTTTCCTTTTTCTCCTCGCATTTTTTGGAGGCCCAAAAATCATTAAGAATTTTCTTATCCTGCCGGGAAAGACCTTTATTAGATCTTGAAATTTGTGTGTCTGTTTAAACTTATCATACCTCCAGAGTCTCCATTATATTAACAGCAATTGATTGCAACTCCGGTTTTGAGCGCAAGTACTCAAGGCATTTACCTAACGTACGGTGAGCTGTATCTTTGTCGTTGAAACCGTATTTCTTGAAAAAATTAATCGCTGAAAAATCGCGATGATTATCGAGAAAATACTGCAAATATGCTTTTAACTTACTTTCCATTCTGATAATCTGATTATGATGAACACGGTAGTTTTATCACTAATATGGTTACACAATAATAATTATTTACGTGTACCAAAAATCTCGGCTTTTTTTGCAAGTTAGAGGTGGTTCACTCGGAATCCTACTCTATAATCTATACCCCTTCTCATATGAACACAGGACTACGTCTCCAGGCAACTTGCAGGCAGTTCGTTATTTGTCATTTGGCATTTTACCCGCTGTCCGTGGTTACGTCCCCAGCAAGCTTGCGTGTTCATATTCCGTTACCTGGCTAAAGGGTGTATTTTTTTTTCTCCCGCTATACTCAACTGGTGCAGGACTACGTCTCCAAGCAAACTGCAGGCAGTTCGTCATCTGACCAGTAGCTTGTCATTTGACCCGCTGTCCGCGGATACGTCCCAGCAGATTTGCGTACCTTTTGAGAGCCAGTCTTTCATTACTTCGTCTTTTTTCAAACATTATAGGAATAACATTAAATATTGCTCGACTATTGACTCCAACTAAAGCGGAAATTAAATCGATCGAGTCGATATTGCAAACAAAGATGTGATGAAAGAAAAATGATTAAAAGTTTTATTTATATTAATTAAATTTTACATTATATACTTCAACTTTCGCACTAATGCAATTTTGTCTCTTACAGAACATTCAGCCAAGTTGATTTTATCCCAGATGTTACATGTTATAAACGAAAAGAAAGGACCCAAAAAATTTCCTTAATGGTATCGGACTATCGGTGATGGAAAAATTAGCAAATGATGGAATTTATACATTGAAATAATTCATTCGGGATTTATCTTTTTTTAACCAGGATGTGTATGTATCGGAATAATAAGTGATCAGATCTATAATCATGGAGCATTTAAAGTTTTATGATTATTCAATGAGACCCAATTCTCGAAGATGCTCTGGAATAACTATATATGGGTCTTCGTAATACCAAACATACCTTAGGGCAATACAGTTTTCTTCGCATAATTCTTTCTTGAGTTGATCCCGCGCTTGCTGTTTGATAAAATTATTGGGATCGCCATTATGGAAGAATTTGATATATTTTTCGTGTTGTACACCTTGTACTTTGATTGCAAAGCCATATTCCGGGTAATAAATATCAAGTTCTAATCCTGTGGGACATTCTGGTGTTTTGAGAAAATTAGGTTTGCGGATTAGTGAAGGAGGGCCAAGATATTTTGTTAAAATCTCGTGACAAAGCTTTTCTCTTTTATATTTCGGGCAGAATGGGCACCACGAGTTTAAATGTTTAACGTTATCAAAAGTAGCAAACCATCTATGCTTTTTGTCACACATCCATAATAAAGCTGAACAATTATTAATATAATATTCAGAAAGACAAACTCCCTTTCTATTATAAGCCAATTTTTTGGCATCTTCAAGTGTACAAGGCCTATTATTTGCGCAATATGGACACCACGTCTTATTATTTTTCACATTGTTAAAAGATGCATTCCACTCATGCCTTTCAGAACAACTCTATGATAAAGGTGAAAAACTATTATCATACATTTCAGAAAGGCATTCTCCATTCTTACTAAAAGCAACTTGCTTAGCATCTTCAATTGTATGACTGGTCTTATTTGCACAATATGGACACCATGTCTTACCATTTTTTATATTATTAAGAGATGTAGTCCACTCATGACCATTTGCATATTGCCATCACATTAGAATGATAGCATTAACATATTCAGTAGAAAGACAAAGCCTACCATGTTTCAGCAATTGCACAAGCATCATTTATTGTCAACTTTCTCATTGCAAATAGGTGATTCTTTATCAAAAAAATCAAAACTTTAATTTCAGGAGTAATGAATCTTTATGATCCTTTCTTTCGCTTCTCTCATAATTCTATCTCTTTTTGAAGGTCTAATGAAGTATCAAATCTCAACCGAATTACCAGTGGATCATCATCTGATTTATTTAGATCAAAAACAATAAATTCACCTTTTTGAAGATAACTATTAACAACTATAGAAGTATTTTTCACATTTTCAGTATATCGTCCAATGATCTTAGAAATATTTTGATAGGAACTACCACCATTAAAGATTACTAGATGTGAAATATTTTCATGGATAATTATTGGTATATGATGGTAATATTGTGTTACATATATGCTTGAAATATTTCTATGATGCTCATGTATAAAAAATAGAATGATTCGATTTTGGATGAATTCAGAAGCCACACATAAATCCTCAAAAATAATTGCTGTGTTTCTCTTAGGCGAAAATGCTCTTGTATTAGGAATTTTTTCAGGTGAAATATATTTGAAAGTAATATTTTCATAGTAAAACATTTTCGGGTTTTTTGAAATTATGCTATATATATATCTTACAAATGCTCATTTTAGTTTATCAGGATAGTAACTGCAAACTATCAAATCATCACATGCAATATATCTAGACCTACTTTTTTTACCTTTATATATATATTCAGGTATATCACCAAGAAAAAAATTCGCCAAAATATTAGTCTTACTTATTTCACTTTCCCTGTAACTACCATACTAAAAAGGCAGTCAGGATTCACTTCATGGCCTTTTGCTTAAGATGATGTATGCTTAGTGATCTCATCCATATCTATAAGAAAAGTTTCATAGGAGGTGTTTTTTGGTTCTTCTGCATGACGGATTAGGAATCTATAATTCTGATTTCTATCAAAGGGTATTTTATATTTTGGAATATTTTTTCTTCATTGGAAGGTGAAATAAAAGAATATAGATGAAAGAATATGGACTGCGAAAACCATATTATTAGTAATAGTATTATGAGAAAGATTACAAGCTGAAAAAAGAAAGAATTAGGTAATACTGAGGTTGTTTCAAAACTAGTGATATCGTTATCTTTTTTCAGTCTACTAACACCTCCACTCATCTCATTATGCTTAGAGTCGCTAGATATTTTTGAAATCTGCTCTACTAAATGAGCATCAGCTAATGATTTCTTAAGCTGGCTCGACTCCGCTTCTTGAAGAAGGAAATCTTTTTCCATCAATGTCTTTTGCACTGAAACTAAATCATCTTTCATTTGTGGTAATTCATCCTTTTTTTCGGCCAGTGAATCTTCTAATTCTTCTTTCGCTAAAAATAAACCAATATTTTTATTAGATAATTCAACTTTTTCTAGTTCGAATTTACGCTTGAAAGAATCCATTTTTGATAAGTTCTTCTGTGCTAAAGAAATATCCTGCTCTAATTCCTCCACCTTAGATTAGAAAGCTGCATTTCTTCTGTTATTTTGGGTTAGAGAGCTTGCATCTCTTCTGATTTTATAGTGAATTTGTTCTCAGCATCTACAAGAGAAATATCTTTACGAGTGATTTGAAGCTTGAGATCATTTATCTTTAAGTGTAACTGTCTTATTTCATCTTCAAGCTTAGGATCATTTATTTCTGACTATAATCGTATTATCTCTTCCCTGAGCTGATATACCTGATTGGAAAGTTTCTCTTTTTCTTTTTTAGATTTATTAAGATCATCTTATATGCGCTTACTTTCGTTTTTTGATTGATTAAAGTCATCCTGTATGCGCTTATTTTCTCTATCTAAGATATCATAACTATCTGCAAACTGACTCACCTAATATATAGCAACTTCACAATCTTTTTTTGCGTAAGAAAGTTGATCTTCAAGCTCTGTTCAGCTAGAGATAATAATTAGCTGGAGAATTTCTAAGTTTATTACCATTATCCAGATCTTTTAAGATATGGATCTGGAGCATTTTATTGGTATTTTTTTTACTTTAGACAAAAAAAAATCAGTCAGAGGCCTTAAACTTGTAAAAAAGTGGATTATTTTTTTTGGCAAATCTAAGTCCTATTGATATTTATTGAAAAAAAAGCACTAATACATACTGAAAGACACTGGTATTTATTCATATTTATTGATGCGTACTGAAAGAGAATACTAATATGTATTAAAGAATACCGATATGTATTGAAAAGCACTGACTTATATTAAAAAGCACTGATATGTATTGAATCATCAGAAATATTGATACACATTGAAAAGTATTGAAAAAATTATTGGTAGTTTTTTTGCATATATATTCTGACTAAAAAAATAGTCATTCATCTTCATGAAAAATTTTACTGATTTAATGCAACTCAGTTGTCAGAATCTTATATTAAAGAGATTAGAGAGTCAAGAGGTAAAATATCTAATGCATCAAAAAAATGGCTGAAAAATTTTATATTGGTGCTTAGCATGTTTATGAAATAGTAAGTGTCTCTAACAAGGGCTTATTTTATCTTTCTCTGATTAGCTTGCTTTGGATAAAATGGAATAGACTCTTGAAGTGATATCAGAAGTATCATCTATATTCCTTTCAGCTACAGAGATTCCAAAAAAGAATGGTCAAAAAAAGAAGGTTAAAATAGATGAGAAGCCGGTTACTGAACCAACTAGTATGATGGAAAAAATAATAAAAATGGTGTGGTCTCTGATAATTCATCTGATACATCCCGAGAAAATAGGGAAGAATCTCTTCTTAACAATCTAGTTAATTATGGTGAAAAGCTTAAGGGTTTAACAGCTCATATCACTTCCCTTATATAAGGATTCACATATATTAGCAAAAAATTTACCAGTACTTAAGGCTGAATAGAGCATTTCTTTAGTCTTTATGAAGTGTTTTTCAAGCTCTTCGCACTTTTTTTAAGTCTTTCTCATTAGTCAGATTAGAAGAATTAACTAAAACCTGAGAGCTAAGAGATGCTTCGCATGATAATTTCCAATCCTCTTTTGGCAGATCTTTGGCTACTGGAGCCTTACTAAAGGTTAGGATAATTTATACCTTTCTATGTAACTTTATTGGAACTGGTTTTTATTTGACATATCAAAAAATAGCATTAGTTCTGTTTCACCATTATCAATACGAACAAAATTTCCAATAATTGTGACTGTCTTACCTTCTTTATCTTTCAAGATAACTGGCACGTCTGTAAACTAATGTGTAAAATCTATGTGTACATTAATTTTTTGTGTGTACATATTATACAACATAAAATGTGCACAAATTATTACTAAAAATAGATAAATTATGTATAAAAAAGGTAATTTTACATAAGAAAATGTTATAATTTTCTTATTTTAGTAATAATTAATCAATTTGTGCACATAAATTTTAACTTAGATTTTATACACTCTTGTAAACCATTTAATAAATCAGTGATATACTTGGAATTGCCCTTTATGGCAAAATTAGATAGTTTATCAGCTTTCCAGCCAAGCATCTTGATTGCTGGATCATTTAAACCACCTAATTCACTGCTGGTATCTAAAAAAGATTTGGAAATAGTTAAGTCATTTATATTAGTATTCAGATATTATAAAGATGATAATCACTTATCTGATTCTTTTGATTCCTTCTCCTGAGCCTTTCGAAACAAGCACATTTCTCTTATCGGTAATAAAAGCTTAGATCATATGTTTTAGGCTGGCTAGTTACCAGAGGTAGCTTATTATTCATCAGTTCAAATTTTTTTTACTAGTGCATAATACCACTCACTTTCTTTTAGATTATCATAACCATCTTCCTTATTATCTGAATCTGGAAGCATGTATTGGGACTGCGTAAATAAAAGTTGAGAATAGTAATGTATAATATTCAATTTAGCTATAGGATTTGTTAAAGACGTAAAAATTAAGTTAGGACAATTAATTTTCTTATGACCTTCCTATTCACAATTACTACAATAAAAAGGCTTTCGAGATTGTTCATTAAGTGATATCCTATTAAACTTAAATGTTATTTGACTCTTTGATTCTAATCTATCAATTCTAGATGATTACAACTTTTCTGATTTTTGCGATTTAGGAGGTGGTCCATAGATTTTTGCAACCTCTCTCATTATTTCTTCCTTAGTAAGTATATTGAAGAAAGGATTAACACTTTCATATATATCATGAATCTGTTCCATATTTTAGAGAAACTGGTAGAGGTATCTTTCTAGTTTGCTGGATTATTTGTGATTGGTAATCAGCTTTTTATTTTTCTAATAAAGACTGGTATTGTAATAGAAGAGTCAACCGCAAATCATATGATAACAGAATAAATCACCTGATTTACTACACCAAGTATACATGAAGTCGAAATGAAAACCCAAAAGTCGAAATGTTTCGACTTTGGAGGTCAAAGTCGAAATGAAAAGTCGA